GCTAGGTAGTAAGTGGCAGTATTGAAGGTCCTGCAAGCATCCATTTACATGGCAATATATGAAGCCTTGAGAATGAAGCTGAAGCTTCAGTGGAAACCTCAGGAAGCTGGAGATGCCAGGAACCTGGAACATTTGCCAAAGTCCAAAAGCAACAGGAACAGTAGACCATGGACTAGACCTCTGAAGTTGTGAGCTAAAATAAAACTTGCCTTCTGACAGCTTGCTCATATCAGATATTTTGTTACAGTAATGGGAGAAAACTTACACCACCAACCATCCTTTATTTTCATTTAAAGTCATTTTGAAAGGGGGAAATGTATACAGAATAGTAATAATATTAAGATTATAATGACAATAGTATAAAAGATTAATATACCTATTGAAATACTTTGGAGACCAAATTTTCTCACTCAGAAATTATGTCTATTACACAGAAACATTCCAACCTATGTCATATAAGGCAATTGATTTTTGATTTCACAGTTCCTTCAAATGAAACAAAAACAACCATGACCATAAGCAGTAAAAATGCACCTCACCTGTATAAGCAATATCATCTTTTTTTAAATGGTTTTAACTGAGAAAATTTGAAAACCCTAGTCATTTACCATTTATCAATGTTGCACTGAAAATATAAGCACAACAAATTTGGGATGAATTAAATGTAATTGGAACTGAAGATTAATTCTATCTTACTGGTTTTATAAAAGTAAACTATTGTAGAATAGTTTAAAGAACAAAATGATTTTTTGAGATAATAAGTATGTTAATTTATTTCAGTATAGTATGTTTTTTACTTTCTATACATTCCACATCATGCTGAATGTTATAACCATACTGAACATTTGTACTGTTATAACATTCAAAGTTTTCCTAATGCTTCCTTATAATCCTTCATTGCTACTTTCAATGACTCCTCTCATTTCTCTTATTGGTTATTAAAAAATTTGCACTATTCTTAAAACTCTGACCAAACACTGAAAAAGACATTGTAACACAATATTAATGGTTTTCATCTAATATTAAGTAAATCAGTTCTCATCATTAGACTCATATTCAAACTCAATGGAGCCACCTTGGCCTTCAGGTGAGAATTAATCTATAAATACAATGTAGTTAAAAAAAATACAGTTATACCCATGAAGGATTGTGCATGACTGTCTTGAGTGCATTGAACAGATCTGTGCTTGGCTTTATTTGGATCTCCAGACTAACAGTTGCTTCTTTGACCTTCATGTGAGTAATGTTAACATGTTGTTCCCCAAACAAAGGAACCCACTAAAGGAATTTCCCTATTGGTGGCCTCATAAATTCCATTAGCGCTACTGTGAGTTATAAAAGCTTTAATTTAAATAGTCTTACTCATAAAATGCTAATGGCATTATATGAAGCACTAAAAGGGTCAGTGTTTTCTAGATAAAGATTATTGCATCCATGAAACTGCATTTAAATTGTTTTTAAATCTCAGTGCAAACAGCACCACCTCCAATGGAGGTATAAGGGAAGATCACCTGTCAGAAATGATGTATGAGTAGAGATTGGACAATGGACATGTGATTCTTAGGTGAACAAATAGAAAGAGCAAACAACAAACAAAAGAAGCCATGAGCCAAAGAAAGACTATGCAGTTATTAGAACTCTTAGAACTCGTTAAAAAATAAAAAGTACAAAAAAATGTGGAAAAGAAAAAAATAGTGAAATCACTAGGTCTGATATGAAAGTTACTCAAGGCAGCAAACAGAGGTGTTGGAATCAGAGGAAGTGTGTTATCACTTCATGACAAAGATTGAATAATTCTCCCCTATGAAAAATACACATACATTCATAATAAAACAAGGGTGTTATCTCTCAGTGGCATTTAAATACCCCTAGGGAACAGGGACAGAATCTAGGTAATTTTTGAAAATTCTATATGAAAGGTAACTATGCTTGAAATAAAGATTCTTTGATCATAAAGTATATTCAGGTGTAATGAAATTTTGTTAGGGCTTCAGAATAAACATAAAGAAGTTTGGCTCTAATTTTTTAGTGTTTAAATAATAAATTATTATTCAGATTGTTACCTATTGAACTATTATTGTACTTACTGATTGTTACTAAGGTTTTTAGGATTTACTTCCAGAGATTTACAAAGAAGTTCATTCTGAGGGACCCCCCTTGTATGTCTGAGAATGGATCCTAAGTTATCTGGTTTCCTGCTTTCAAATCTCTAAATAAACTTTAGAGAGAGACAATATCTTATTCTATTATTCAAAGGTGAAATTATGGCATTTTGAAATTCTAAGGAGGTTCAGAGATTAGGTGATCATTAAAATGCAACATTTGAGGAAATGAGGAAAAGAGTGATAAGGGGAATGAGTAAGAAATGAGACAAATAAAGTATTTATGTTTTCATTACTTATCTTCATATTCTATCCAGAAAATGTAATTTATTTATTTTTCACATACTGAGTGACTTTTTATAAAAGAGGAAAAAATGATAATCAAGTATTTAAGAAATTGTTCTAGGGCTGAAGTTTTAGCTCAGTGGTAGAATGCTTGCCTAGAGCACATGAGGCACTGGGTACAATCCTCAGGACCACATAAAAATAAATGAATAAAATAAAGGTCCATCTATAACTAAAAATATTCAAAAAATAAAGAAAGATAAGAAATTGTTCTGCAGTTATAATTTTATTATAAAAATGAGTAACAGATTACTGAGTTCACATCTTTATTTATAATATGTGTACTATACTAGCTCTTATCTTCCAAGTTTAATATTAATCTTTTTACTTCTTAAGTGAGTTTACTTATATTCATTTATTTCAAAAATTATTATTTTAAGTTTCACATTTTTTTATTTTCAAAAAAACCATGTAATTAATTCTTTGTGAGAAATCATTTCTGTTTAGCAATTACACGTATACTTTTTTTGAAAATTACAAATTATTAAGCATGACTTCCAGGAAAAATTTCAAGTGGAATTTTCAACAAGAATTCTGATTATTATCACTATTGCTAGGCTTGGAAATTCTTTATGGCAGTTGCAAAAAAATTGAAAATTGTAATTGTACTGAATTTTGTTTCATTGATTATTTATTCTTCCACAATTTACTACAAAGCATTCATAGCAGAGATTAATGTGGTTTACTATTGCCAAACCATTTCATGCCCAGTTCTAAATAAGAGAATGATATTAGAATTCCCAAGCAATCCTCATAAACTGGAGCATCTTTTATAGACATTTATTTTTTACTTACTGTGTGAATGTTAAAAGTATCTTCAGTTTCCCAGCTAATAATTAGCATAGGTGTTACAAGAAAACAATATATGATAGAAAACTATTCTAGTTCCAGTAATTCATAAATATGCAATATGCATATGTTATATGCAGTAGAAAATTAGTACCTATTTTATTTTATGGATAGGGGAAACTTCCCCATTAAGGATTGCTTCTTTACTCATTTTTATTTCCTCTTTCCATTCTCATTTGGGAGGAGGTATAAATCTTGTGGGTTAGAAGCAAACTCTTTGTGGCATACTTGAAATTTTAGTTTGCTTCATAATCTCTGTGATAAAAATATCCGTCAGGAACAATTAGGGTGGAAAAGTTTATTGTGACTCAGTTTCAGAGGTCTCAGACCATGGACTGACTCTATGGCTGTGGGTCCAAGTTTAGGCAGAACATCATGGCAGATGAGCATGGTGGAAGAAAGCAGCTCAGGATATGGTAATAAGAAACAGAAGAGCTCTGTTTACCAGGAACAAAAAGTATATCCCAAAGGCATGTCCCCACTGATCTTCTCCTCCAGCCAAATCTTACCAGCCTAGAATACCACCCAGTTAATTCATATTAGTTGATTAATCCACTAATTACATTAAGACTCTCATAACCCAATCTAACATTCTTGTAGTTTAATAATAGTTTCTTCTTTGAAACTGCACCTGAATATTTCAAAAGTAACTCTTGCAGTAGAGGAAAATATTACCAATATGAATCTCTTGGCACACTATAGATCAATGCACTGACTCATTATGTGAAAAAATCATACAGCTCATCTTTATTCGAAGATGTAGGAAAATGTTTAAATTTCATGCATTTTTTCCTGTTGACATCAAGAGAAATGAAAAATCAAGTCTTTGTAAATATCACTTCGTATCCCCTCTGGGTGGGGTCATTCAGTATTATATTTAAACTCATACAATGGCTGAATTCAAGAAATTAGCTCTTTTACACAACTTTAAGTACCAAAGTGACAACTCAACTGTAACAGCAGAACTGAAATCCTTTTCACAGACATCCTGGTTAAATGCAATGCACTAGTCATGCTTGTATTCAAGAAGAAACTAACAAGGAAGTTAAAACACTCAGTAGATTGGTCAAAGTAGGTTTTTCAGATAAAGCTTATTGCATCCATGAAACTGCATTTAAATTGTTTTGTTATCTCAGTACAAACAGCTCCACCTCCAATGGAGATATAAGTGAAAGTCATAGATCACAAATGGTGTATGAGTAGAGATTGGACAATGAACACATGATTCCTATGTGAACAAATAGAAAGAGCAAACAACAGACTAAAGAAGCCCCGGGCCAAAGAAAGACTAGGTACTTGTTAGAACTTGTCCTCTAAAATAAATAGAACCAAGAACTGTGGAAAGGAACAAATAGTGTAATTACTAGGTTTGATATGAAGGTTATTTAAGGCAGCAAAGAGAGATTGTGTAATTTCATGGCAAAGATTGTGTAATTTTTCCCCCATGCAGAATACAGAGTAATTCATAATAAAACAAAGGTGTTATCTCTCAGTGACACTTAAAATACACCTAGGGAACAGGAGGCATCTAGGTAATTTTGGAAAATTCTATATGAAAGGTAACTATGCTTGAAATAAAGATTCTTTGATCATAAACAATATGAAGGTGTATTGAAATTTTGTTGGGATTTCAAAATAAACATAAAGATGTTTGGTTCTAATTTACTGTTTCAATACTAAATTATCAATTCAACCATCATTAACCTATTGACTGTTACTAAGGTTTTTAGGATTTACTTTTAGAGTTACATCAAGAAGCTCATTCTGAGGGACCCCCTTGTAAAGCAGAGAATTGGATCCTAAGGTATCTGGTTTCTTGCTGTCAACTCTCCAAAGAAACTTTAGGGAGAGACAATATTTTATTCTATTAATCAAATGTCAAAATATAGCATATTGAAATTCTAAAGGACGTTCAGAGATCACCTAGTTAAGGGATCATAGAAAATGCAACATTTGAGAAAATGAGTACAAGAGTGATTAAGCAATGAGAACTAATAATAAATGAGAGAAATAAAGAATTTATATATTTTTTACCTATGTTCATATTCAATTTTTTCAAGGAACCAACTTTATGTTTTGTCAATTTTTTTCAATTTTTTTTTGGTTTCAAAATCATTGATTTTTAGCTCTGATTTAATTATTTCCTATCTTCTACTGCTTGTGGTGTTGGTTTGTTCTTCTTTTTCTAGGGCTTTGAGATATAATGTTATGTCATTTATTTGTTGACTTTTTCTTCTTTTACAGAATGAACTTCATCCAATGAACTTTCCCGTTTGTACTGCCTTCACAGTGTACCAGAGATTTCAATATGTTGTATCAGTGTTTCATTTACCTCTAAGAACTTTTTGACATTTTAAGACCTCTTTTTTATTTTTATTTTTTTGCATATGTTTGCATATAATTCTTAATGCACCATTATACAATAATTTGCTATTTCCCTTCTCCCTCCATTTCCCTCCCACCCTTATTCCCTATCTAGAGGTAATCTTCCTCCCTTGCTCTCCCTCCCAAATCCATTTGGAGCCACCCCCCTTATATCAGAGAAGACATTCCACATTTGTTTTTTTGGGATTGAGTAACTTCACTTAGCATAATCTTCTCTAATGCCACCCATTTCCCTGCAGATTTCATGATCTTAATCTTTATTATTGCTGAGTAATATTCCATTGTGCATAAATGCCATATTTTTTTTTATCCATTCATCCACTGAAGGACATCTAGGTTGGCTCCACTGTTTAGTTATTGTGAATTTTGCTTCTATAAACATTGATGTGGTTGTGTCCCTGTATGTAATATGCTGTTTTTAGGTCCTTTGGGTACAGTGTGTGAATAGGAATAGCTGGGTCAAATGGTGGTTCCATTCCTAGTTTTCTAAGGAATCTCCATACTGCTTTCCAAATTGGCTGCACCAATTTGCAGTCCCACCAGCAGTGTATGAGTGTACCTTTTTCCCCCGCATCCTTGCCAGCACTTGTTGTTGTTTGTTTTCATAATGGCTGCCACTCTTACTGGAATAAGATGGAATCTTAGAGTAGTTTTGATTTACATTTCTCTGATTGCTAGAGATGATGAGCATTTTTTCATATATTTGTTGACTGATTGTATATCCTCTTCTGAGAAGTATCTGTTCTGGTCCTTGGCCCATTTATTGATTGGATTATTTAGGGATTTTTTGGTGCTTATCTTGTCCAGCTCTTTATATACTCTAGAGATTAGAGCTCTAGCTCATGTATGAAGGGTAAAAATTTGTTTCCAGTATGTAGGCTCCTTATTCACCTTACATAATATTTCTTTTGCTGAAAAAAAAAACCAACAACTTTTTAGTTTTAATTCATCCCATTTGTTGATTCTTGGTTTTAATTTTTGTGCTATAGGCATCTTATTAAGGAAGTTGGGGCCTAGCCCCATGTGATAGAGATTAGGGCCTACTTTTTCTTCTATTAGATGCAGAGTCTCTGGTTTAATCCCTAGATCCTTGATCCATTTTGAGTTAACTTTTGTGCATGGTGAGAGACAGGGATTCAATTTCATTTTGTTGCATATGGATTTCCAGTTTTCCCAGCACCATTTGTTGAAGATGCTATCCTTTCTCCATTTCATGGTTATGGCACCTTTGTCTAATATAAGGTAGTTGTAATTCTGTGGGTTAGTCTCTGTGTCCTCTATTGTGTACAATTGGTCTATTATCTTGTTTTGGTGCCAGTTCCAAAATGCTGATTTTGTTACTATTGCTCTGTAGTATAGTTTAAGGTCTGGTATAGTGATACCATCTGTTTCACTCTTCCTGCTTAGAATTGCTTTAGCTATTCTGGGTCTCTTATTTTTCCAGATGAATTTCATGATTGCTTTTTCTATTTCTATGAGGAATTTCATTGGGATTTTGATCAGAATTGCATTGAACCTGTATAGTGCTTTTGGTAGTATGGTCATTTTAATAATATTAATTCTGCCTTTCCATGAGCAAGGTGTATCTTTTCATTTCTAAGGTCTTCTTCTATTTCTTTCTTTAGGGTTCTATAGTTTTCATTGCAAAGATCATTCACCTCTTTTGTTAGGTTAATTCCCAAGTATTTTTTTTTTGATAATATTGTGAATGGGGTACTTATCCTCATTTCCTTTTCAGAGGATTTGTTACTTATATACAGAAATGCCTTCGATTTATGGGTGTTGATTTTATATCCTGCCATTTTACTTAATTCATTTATTAGTTCTAGAAGTTTCTTGGTAGAGGTTTTGGGTCTTCTAGGTATAGAAATTATATCATCAGCAAATAGTGCTAATTTAAGTTCTTCTTTTCCTATAGTTATTCTTTTAATTTCTTTCATCTATCTAATTGCTATGGCCAGTGTTTCAAGACTATGTTGAATAGAAATGGTGAGAGAGGGCATCCCTGTCTTGTTCCAGATTTTAGAGGGAATGCCTTCAGTTTTTCTCCATTTAGAATGATGCTGGCCTGAGGCTTAGCGTAGATAGCTTGTACAATGTTGAGGTAAATTCCTATTATCCCTAGTTTTTCTAGTGTTTTGAACATAAAGCAGTGCTGTATTTTGTCAAATGCTTTTTCTGCATCTATCAGGATGATCATATGGTTCTTATCTTTAGGTCTATTGATGTGGAATTACATTTATTGATTTCCATATGTTGAACCAACCTTGCATTACTGAAATGAATCCCACCTGATCATGGTGCACAATCTTTTTGACTTGTTTTTGTAGTTGATTTGCCAGAATTTTATTGAGTATTTTTGCATTTATATTCATTAGAGATATTGGTCTGAAGTTTTCTTTCTTTGAGGTGTCTTTGGTTGAGTGTTGGAATTAGTTCTCTTTTAAAGGTCTGGTAAAATTTAGCTGGTCCTGGGCTTTTTTTGGTTCGTAATCTTTTGATGGCTTCTTCTATTTCCTCACTTGATATTGGTCTGTTTAAGTTGTGTATATCTTTCTGACTCAATCCGGGCAGATCATATGACTTAAGGAATTTATTGATGCCTTCACTGTCTTCGATTTTATTAGAGTATAAGGTTTCAAAATAATTTCTAATTATCTTCTGTATTTCTGTAATGTCTGTTGTGATGTTGCCTTTTTCATCACATAAGCTAGTAATTTGGATTTTCCCTCTTCTTCTCTTCATTAGCATGGCTAAGGATCTGTCAATCTTATTTATTTTTTCAAAGAACCAACTTTTAGTTTTGTCAATTTTTTCAATTGTTTCTTTTGTTTTGATTTCATCTCTGATTTTAATTATTTCTTGCCTTCTACTGAATTTGCTGCTGATTTGTTCTTCTTTTTCTAGGGCTTTGAGATGTAGTGTGAGATCATTTATTTGTTGGCTTTTTCTTCTTTTGAGGAATGAACTCCGTGCAATGATTTTTTCTCTTAGTACTGCTTTCATAGTGTTCCAGAGATTTCAATATGTTGTGTCTGAGTTTTCATTTACCTCTATGACTTTTTAAATTTCCTCCTTGATGTCTTCTGAAACCCATTGTTCATTCAGTAGCATATTATTCATTCTCCATGTGATGTAGGAATTTTTCTTCCTTATTTTATTGTTGATTTCCAATTTCATTCTATTATGATTGGATAAAATGCATGGTAGTATCTCTACTTCTTTGTATTTGCTAAGAGTTGCTCTGTGACATAATATATGGTCTATTTTTGAGAAGGATCTATGTGCTGTTGAGAAAAAAGTGTAAACACTTGATGTTGGTTGATATATTCTATATATGTCAATTATGTCTAAGTTATTAATTGTATTATTGAGTTATATAGTTTCTTTATTCTTTATAGTTCTTTATAGTTTCTTTATTTGTTTGAAATATCTGTCCAGTGGTGAGAAAGGTGTGTTAAAATCACCTATGATTATTGTGTTGTGGTCTATTTGACTCTTGAACTTGAGAAAGGTTTGTTTGATGAATATAGCTGCACCATTGTTTGAGGCATATATACATATATATTAATGATTATTATGTCTTGTTGGTGAATGGTTCCCTTTAGCAGTATATAGTGTCCTTCTTTGTCCCTTTTGATTAACTTTGGCTTGAAGTCTATTTTATTTGATATGAGTATGGACACCCCTGCTTCCTTCCGAGGTCCATGTGAGTGGTATGATTTTTCCCAACATTTCACCTTCAGTCTGTGTATGTCTTTTCCTATCAGATGAGTCTCCTGTAGGCAGCATATTGTTGAATCTTTTTTTTTAATCCAGTCTACTAGCCTATGTCTTTTTATTGGTGAGTTTAAGCCATTAACATTTAGGCTTACTATTGAGGTATGGTTTGTATTTCAAGCCATATTTATTTTATTTATTTATTTTTGTTATTTAACTTGATTTGTTTTTCCTTTTGATTAGTTTTTCCTTTACTGTACTATCTCTCACTGTTGGTTTTCATTGTTATTTTTCATTTCCTCTTCATGTCCTTTCTTTCCTTGTCTTTTCATACTGTTCATGTTTCTTTCCAGCTCTATGTGACTGTTATGTTAATGTTTTTCCCCTATATATTTATATTTCTCTTGTACAGTTCCAAAATATCTCTGATCAGCCACAGAACTGGGCTGGTAGCCATGCCCATTGATAGATGGCGAGTAAGGTTTTCCAAGATAGAATCCATCTGTTTCCAAAGTAGGGTGTTTGGTGAGGTGGAGGGTGCTGGAGTGACTTTGTGCTGTGTTCAGAGCTTGGTGTGGTGACCCACAAGCAAAGCCTCTGTGTTCTGCACTGACCATGCATGCCGGACCGCTTTCCATCTGCCTAAGAATTTTTTTTTTTATCTAAAAAAAGAGAATTTTTTTTTTTAAATCTCCTGTTGGATGTCTTCTGCAACCTATTGTCATTCAACAGCA